TATATATATATATAAATGTTGAACTCATAGTCTATCTTTTTCGCCAGCATCAATGTTCAAGCATAGCGACGAAAATGCCGAACTCATATTCTAGAACATTGTTCATTTAACTTACTCCTCCCCATCCTAACTTAAAATTTAGGCATCGCTTGGGACAACTTCTTTGTTCTTTCTAAAATGGTTTTTTAGTATAAAAATTTCTTGAATTAAAAAATTTTATACTAGAAATCATTTTTATAAAATAGCAAAAAAGCTATCCCAAATGAAGCCTTAGTCGCATAGGGACTCACATTCGAGATACTCAGGCTGAAAGTTTTTTTAATTTTGGGTGTATTAATAAAATAGGTTGGTTAAGACCCTGAATTCACCCTAAAATCTTATCAATTATTGATTAATTCCTCTCACTAGCCTTCTCTCCATGGGGGGATTGAATTCATATTAGCATTTTAAAGTTCGTCATTCTAGTCTCCTGTCAAATAGAGCTTCAAAGTCATGCACACATCACATATCCATGCTTCAAATTCACAACATCTTAGTTGATAGCCAATATTTCCAACCAACAAATCAAGACACCATAAAATCTTATCAATTATTGATTAATTCCTCTCACTAGCCTTCTCTCCATGGGGGGATTGAATTCATATTAGCATTTTAAAGTTCGTCATTCTAGTCTCCTGTCAAATAGAGCTTCAAAGTCATGCACACATCACATATCCATGCTTCAAATTCACAACATCTTAGTTGATAGCCAATATTTCCAACCAACAAATCAAGATGAGCTCAATGAGTTGTAGGGCAAATAGCATGAGAAGTGTTTTCTAATTTGTTAGTTCATACCTCATTTCACTTTGTTGTTGATAGAGAAATTTACCATTATGTTAACTGAACTTTGTTAGCTTTTACCCTTTTACAGTCCAAGAAACTATTGCAAGGTATATAATTCACTACTAAAATGAGGGGATAAAGTAGCATTAACTAGAAGCGGTTTTAAAACAGTTGCTATATATTAACTAAAAGCATTGCTAAAGCCTTCCAACAGTAGCATTTATAAAACGGTTGCTAAAGCCTTTCCAGTGAATGCAAATACAGCAGTTTCAATAAGTAACGGTTTCTAGTAGGTGTTTAAACCAATGCAGTAGATCCTAAAAAGCGCTGCGAAAGTCTAATTTATTAGTTATGGTAGTCTCTTTCAACATCTTAGCCTAACAACTCTCAACGGGTTGAGTGCAATTTAATGAGCTATGTTCCCATATTGATTTAATAGGGAAAGACATTGCCTCACATCGAGATCCCCTCCCCTGCAATGATACTTCTTTTTGAGGCCATTCAAAATTATGAACGTGATATATTCCAAGACTTCATTCATTATAACATGCTTAGTAGGGGGAAGAAGAACGCACTTACATGCTCATGCAATTTAGAGAAATTATTGTATACGCAATCCGAACGCAAAATAAGGTTCGGATGCTGCGTATACTGTTTTTGTACTGCATATTTTTTAATAAAAAATTTTTTCGTGGCAAATAAGCAGTAAATAAATAATACTTAGTAAGTATTCACTGAATACACAATAAATACTCAAAAAATATGTAGAAAAAATTATGTATAAAAAATATGCAGTAAAATAAGCAGTAATACACAGCATCCGAACCTTACTCTGCATTCGGATTGTGTACACAATAATTTCTCTGAAATTTGAGAGGGATTGAAAGCATAGGTCTACAGTGTTTTCAGAAATATACTTTTCATTAGAATTATCTAGTAAAAGCTCAAAGAAAAGAGGTGTATTCTTCAATAGCAAGAGGATATGGAGTCAAGCTTCGCCGCTGCTATTTGTTGTCGGCTGCCGACCGTCGCCACGTCCAGTGGCGATTCCCCAATACACTAATCATCCTTACTAGAAGAAGGATACTCCATTTGATGATCTGGATTGATTATTTTGATTATTCAATATTTTTCATACATCTGGATGTCTTAATGATATTATATTGAGTAATATTGGATTTGTTGAATTCATCTTGACGAAATGTTTATTTTTACTAAAAGCAAATCAAAATCATAGGAAATTTGATGTCTCACATGACTTCAAAGTTTTTGATTCATGTCTATTTGAACTCGAATCAAAATGTTTTTAGTATTGTTGTATTTAATTTATTGAGATACTTATTCTGATTATATATCAATTTAAAAATTTTTGATGATCTCAAAGTTGATATTGAAATTTCTAATTTAATAATTTATATGCTGGGTGATCTGATATTGTCTTAGAATTAAATTGAATAATTTTTTTGAAAAATTTGTGATGGGATATCTTGAGTTAAATTGCAACAAAATAAAATTAAGAACAAATGGATTTATTTTGAGATTAGTGCAATACAAACTCTTTATGATATATATCAATGTCAAGACAAATCTAATGATTTTTAAGCTTATAATGATATAATTTAAATGATGATATCCTCAAATAATTTTTTTTTTCAATATTTGATGTCTTATTTTAAATTATATCTTTAACCTTCCATTAGTGCCAAAGTTTTTGAATATTCATTTAAGCCAAATCATGACTTGTTAGTCCCACTTGAAATAATTCCAATTGATTATAAATTGTCTAAAAATTCAAGTTAATTTTTAATTAGCTTTGTGTTGTGTGCAAGAAAAATTATAGTGATTGATAAAGAATTCTCCGTCCTAATTTTTTACGAAGATCTAACACACATAGATAATAGAAAATAATATTTAGGCATCATCATTTTTACTTGAAAAATCTTATATGGGAAAAATTCACGGAATTGGCCCGGATTAAATGGATTAATATAGATGGGTTACCAGAGTATGTTTCCCCCCTCAATTGGAGAAGAAAATATTGCAAAGTATATAATTTAACTTTGGCTTGTAGTGAATGTGAGGGAGATGCGATAGTTAGATTGTGTTAGTTGGGTGACGATAGTCAAGCAATGATGGTTGTGATGATGACAGACAATAGCAGTTTGACAACGATGAATAAATTTTAATAATTGGGTGATTGTTGGTAGATGGTGACAATTGGGAGATGGGGGTCAAATGATGGCAATTGGGCAATGACAGGTAGACAATAGTAATTAGGAGACGACGACGGCTGATGGTGTTCTTTGTTGGAGGTGATGAGGAGTAAACACCACAATGACAAAACAAGCAATAAAGTAAAAGCAACATAAAAGTAAAGGACACCAGGATTTAACGTGAAAAAATCTAAAATTAGAAAAACCCGTAGAGTCACCACACACCAAGAAATCCAGTATGAAAATTGGAGAAATAAGTACAAGTCTCTCTTTTCTCTCACTCTCCTTGCTTTTGTTCTCACATGCACCGTTCTTAATGTCTAAGTACTTAGAAAATACAAGAGAAAAAGTAAGTTATAAATGCAACACTTGAGAAAAATGAGAAAAATAACTGTTAGTCCGTCTCGCAGTGCCAATTTTGGGCGCTGCTGTGGCGCTCAGTCTATGTCTTGATTCGCTGTGGTGTCATATCTATACCACTGCGCGCGGTGCTCTAGTCTCTGTCCTTCATCACTAGGATGCCAGGAACACAGTACCAAGTGCTCGGGTACGTAGCCCGAGGTGTCGTATGGGAAAAAAAATCCGGATGCAAAGCAGTCGAACCTAAAGGCCCATAAATGAATCCTCCCATCTAGATTTTTTTTAAATATTTTTATTTTTTTTAAATTTTATTTTCCTCCCATCTCAAATTTATATAAACTCATATGTTCTCGATCCCGTCGTTGAACCCCCAATGAATCATCATCGTGGTCTCGTGATGCTAGCTCCAACAAGCTTATTCAGTCTTGTATGAAAACCCCTAGCACTCTCATTGCGAAATTTTACGTCGCAATTCTAATACTTGTTTTGACTAGCTTGGTTGACTTATATTCCAACTTCATTCAAACCATTTATATTTAAATCATTTTAAACCATTTTTTCTTAGGACATATTTCAATAAGCATTCTATAAATGTAAGATGAAATTTGTCTAAAATGAATTTTTTGGATATGTTTTTAATAAATAAAATAGTAAATATATTTATATAATTTTGAATATGATGAGATATAGGAAGTTAAAGTTTTAATTAATTGAATTTAATGTAAAAAAATTCGGTCTGATTATGCTCATTTATTTATTTTTTTTCGCTTTAGTTGCTCTTAGAAAGCGTGCACCCTACGATTCCCAAGCCAATAATTTCACTAAATACTAACCAATCTGACGCACCCACGTGTCCAACCGTTTAAAACAATGATCTCAAAGTTGCAATTCAAAAAGTTTCAAAATTTTTTTCGTTCTGCTCCCTCACTCGACTCCTTCCTCATTATTTCCCTCCTTTACTCTCCATTCATCCCCGCAGAGACTGCTTAGATTTCTAGTAGGAGTGTAGTGGATTGGTTCGATCTCTCAGTAGAAGTGCAATCGATGCTCAAACCCCCTTTGTTCTGTTTTCCATATAATTATTTCACTCCGTGTTTTTCACTTGATCCATGGAGGTTAATTTCAAAGAATTGAAAAGGAAAGACCTGCAAAGGCTCTGCAAGAAGCATGGACTGCGTGCTAATGCTACGAATTCTCAAATGGCGGATAGTCTTGTTTCCTATTTCAAGGTATCTCCTTTCTTGACTGTCTTTTTTGTTCGATCAGTGTTCTTTCTGCAGAGTTTTTTTGGCTTTGGACATCCTTGAATGATCTACATGTGAAAATTTAGCAGATCTATGAGAAGAATGAACAAGTGAAAGTTCACTCGAAAGGTCTTAGTGGAAGCAGGAACAGCAAAGTGGAAAGAGTGGAAGGGGACGTAGAAAAGGTTATCATTGTTATAGATGATGATGAGGATGAACTTGGTTCTGTTCTACAAAGCGCAAATAGGAAATCTTCACCAAAGAGTCGATGTTCAAGTGAGAAGGACGAACAAATTGAAGCTCGCTTGGATGATTCGAGCGAACGCGGTAACAGCAAAGGGACAGGCATGAAATGGCATGAAGAAAATGCTATAATCCTTTTAGATGAAGAGGATGACAAACCTTGTGATGTTACAAAAAGCGCAGATGGGAAAAAGAGTAGAAGGTCAATTGGAAGGCTTGGCAAGGCATGTGAAGCTAATAGAAGTAATGAAGAAAACCAGGCTGTTGGTGTTCTTAGAAAACCTAAGGAAGGCCTTTTGGTTCCAGTTAGAACCACAAGGTCCCGTTCGACGAATTCTGCAGTCGCGCAAGCTCCAGTTGTTGAGAAGGCGAAAGCGAGAAAAGAGAGGCTAATAGCTGGACAAAATGCCGAACTGCCTTTAAGCACTAACGAGGGCGAAGATAATGAAATTGGAAAAGTGAAAGAAAATCCGAGTTTAATGATGGCAGTTGGAGATGCCAGAGTTACAAGAAAACGGAATAGCAGGAATTCCTCTATGAAAGTCGATGATGAAATCATGGCCTCTTTACCCATCGAAGTTTCGGTTACTGAGAATTTTGTGGGTGATGTGGTTTATAAAAAACATGTAAATACAGGAATGGGATCTGCCATCACTTTCTCTATTGATGGAGAGCAAGCAACACAGGGTACTACAACACGAAATGAGCAAGAGATTGAAGAACATGAACTGTCTACTTCTAGCAACTTGATGGAAGTAGTTGCTGGAAGTGTTCAAACCAAGAGGGGGAAAAAAAGAACTAGAGCAGGCTTGGAAGAAGACAGCCCTGTCATGGAAAAAGAGATTGATCAGCTTGGAAATGCCCATCATTCGGAATTATCATATAAAGATGAAATGTTGGAATCAGAAGCATGCTTTGCTTTATTACAAACATTTGGAAGTCCATCATCATTCAACCTTGCTTCATCCAGGCCGTGTTCGTTGTTATCAGAATTACAAGGCGGGGAAGGTGAGATTCATGAATAAACAAACCTAAACACCAACTAATCCTCATCATTGTTATCAGAATTACAGGGTTAGCTTAATGTTTCTTATTTTTTGTTCAGCACTGTTGAGCATTGTATGTGATCCATCATGCTTAAAATTTTTGTGCAACTAGTATTCACATATTTTTTGCCTACTTTTTTTTTTAATTTATAATCAATTTATATTAATTTTATCTACTCATATTATTCGTGCATCTCTACCTCATTGAATGCCAAAATCTATTTTTCACTATTTTATCTTCAACAGATGCTACTCCTATAATCCCTTTCATATAATTGCTTCTCAATTTATCCTTTTTCATTTTTGTAGCACATTCATCATAATTTTCTCATTTTTATTACATTCAATTTAGTTTCAAATCCATATACTATTGTTGGCCAAACTTTTTGCATGTTACAAGGAATGGGCTATGGCTAAAGATTGTGTCTAAAGTTGTCTTGTTATTTGCTAGTGTAGGCTATAATTTTGAACTGAAGCAATAGCTACCTTTTTGTTCTTTATGTTTGTTTAATTTTTAGTACTATAATGAGCCATAGTCATATTGGTGGAACTAATAATAATAGGTTCTTATTGATCAGTTGTAAATTTTACGTGCTAGACCTTTGGCTATCATAACATTGAGAATTCTTGGGCTGCTCATTGTCCAAAGCTAATCAAAGTTGATAATTGATATATCATCAAAAATTAATTATGATCGAGTACGAATCGCGAGGCAAAATTGAGTTGGAAACCTCCGAAATTAAATATGGTACCATCCGAACTCTGATTTTTAGCAAATTTATAGTCGAACTGAACGTCTCGAAAAGACGAATCCGACGACACGAAATTCGACCGAATTCGAGCCCAAAGGTGTCCAAATCAAAGACTTGAAATGCATTTGGAAGGTTCAAATCATAAATTGGATGACCAAACAGTTTCCAAACGTGACATGCATATAGTCGAATCGAGCGACTCGACGAGACGAATCCAACGAGTCTAATATCGTTGAATTCTAACATCATTAAAACATTCAAATACTCTATAAATGGTCCATGTTCAAGAGAGTTGATATCGGCCGTCCATACAAAACACTCTAAACATGCCCTTTGATTTTCTCCTTATTTACTATTCATGCCACTCCCATACTTGTCAATGGCGCAAAATGGCGCACGCCATGGCACATGACGCGATGCACATGTTAAAGTTGGCGCCAAACATTTGCGCCAAGTGTGCGCAATGGCGCACGATGCGCGCAATTTGAATTTTAGAGATTTTTTAATATAATTATAAATAGTTTTTAATATTTATATATTTTAATTTTTAAAATAATATAATAATTTTTATTAAAATTATTTGATATGATTAAAATAGTTTAAGTTTAGTTAGGTTTCATTATATTTAATTTTAGTAGAAATTTTGAACGAACTTGAAGCTCACTTTAATGGGTTGGTTTTTGGACCACAAACATATTCAACCAAGCCTTACCCAACTTGATTGATACTCTAAAATAGGATCCGTATAATATTTTTTTTAATTATTTTTAATTTTGTGCCATGTTGAAAATGGTGCATGCCACGTCGTGCACTATGCGCCATAGCTCCATAAGAAACTTTGCACCGCGGTGTGCCATTTGTCGTTGACAAGTATGAACACTCCCAAAAAACTATAAATAGACTGCTTATTCTTCATTGGAGGGAGGGAGAGCAAAGGGGGAAAAATGGAAGAGGAGAGGAAATGAAAAGAAATATAAGATCTCTCTTGGCACCAAGCTCCTCCTCGACCACTGCCCTGCCACTGACTATCATCGAACTTTCGCTGGATTTCTGCCGAGCCACCAACTATCACTTAACTTACGTTCGGCCACCAACTAACGTCGGATTTACACTTGGCCATCAATTGTTGTTGGTCCTTTTAACCTTCGTCGTTTGACTATGGTCTTTCCGACCTCCATCCCCCGCCGACTATGGTCATTCTGACTATAATAGTCAACCACCGTTGTCTGTTGAATATGGTCTTTCTGACCTCCGTCGCCTATCAACCAACGTCCTTTCGACCTCCGTCTCCTGATAACGGTCTTTCTGACCTTTGTTGCCCGTCAACTACAGTCCTTTTGACCTCCTTCACCAGACTACAATCTTTCTAACCTCCCTCACTCGTTGACTATGATCCTTCCGACCTCTGTTGCCTGATAATGGTTCTTCTGACCTCCTTCGCCTGCCAACTACGGTCCTTCCGACCTCTGTCGCTCGCTGACTATGATCCTTCTAACCTCCGTCTTCTGATAACGATCTTTTTGACCTCTTTCGCCTATTGAGTACGGTCCTTCCAATATCTGTCGCTTGTCGACTGCAATCCTTTCGACTTCTATCGCCAAATAAGGGTCCTTTTGACCTCCGTCGTCTACCGAGTACGGTCCTTTCGACCTACGTCGTTACATTACGGTCTTTCTGACCTCCGTTGCTTGCCGACTATGGTCCTTTTGACTTCCGTCGCCAGATTATGGTCCTTCTGACCTCCGTAGCTTGTTGACTACGGTCCTTCCGACCTCCATCGCCCGTCGACTACGGTCCTTCCGACCTCCGTCGCCCGTCGACTATGGTCCTTCCGACATTCGTCGCTTGATAACGGTCTTTCTGACATTCGTTGATCGCTGATTTGGGTCCTTCCGTCCTCCATCGCCTAACAACGGCCTTTCTGACCTCTGTCGCTTGCTGACCACGGTCCTTCCGACCACCTTCCCCTACTGCGGCCTTTTTGACTTTTGCCGCTATCCGACTATGGTCATGCCGAAAAAATGAACATGTCAATACTGATTCTTCCAAGTCCCACAATGTAATGCACTCTACATGATGTATATTTTCTATATCAAGCAAAGGCCTTATTCCCAAGAAAGGGCCTCATTTGTAATCAAATGCAAATACTAGTAAATTTACTAGTAGATTCATTTAAACAAGGCAAGTCCTTCTGGCTTTTCTACCGTTTCAGTGGTTTCCACGTAAAAACTCTGATGTCTTTTATGAACGCTATACCCCTCTTTTTTATCATTTGTGTGCTGGATCTTCATACAAAGTTAAGAAGTTAAACTTTTTTATTTCTCTACCATCACAAATATTCCAGGATGCAACAATAATGATGCTTAAGCAATATATGATTTTGATGGGGGATTTCATCTGACAGTTCAAGTTACCGAAACAGTAGTTGAAATTGGAAATAATGTGGAGTGAACTTGAATTTTTTATTCTTATGAAGAATACAAGAGTTTCATTTGAAAGCATAGATGAATCCATTTCTCCTGAAAAGTCTATCATATAATAATTATTTTTTATAAATATGCTAAACATATATCTTCTTGCTTGTATGAAGGCAATAAAGCATACCTCATGTAAAGGATGATCGAGGTCACACACTATATGGTGTTTCATTTGCTTTAGAGTAGTTTGTTCATACTAGACTAAACCTCAAAGTTTTTGTTAGACCGGTCCAGTGGACCGGTCTACCCGGTCCACGCGGGACCGGCCCAGACGCGAACAAGGCGGAGTTTTTCCACCTATGCGGGATGCCGCACGAGCCGCGATTCCACGGGAGCGTTTTAGGAAGGAATTTTGAGTAAGATTAGGAAGGAATTTGAATGTAGGGGCTGTTTAGGGAATTCTTTTTGATTTGTATACATTAAATAGTTGATTTTCCTAGGGTTTGGGTATCTTGAATTTGGCTGAAATTTGAGATATCTTAGATTTAGGTTTTCTTTGGGCTCTAGCGGCGTCTAGAGATTTGGGAGAGATCGATCTTCCTCTCGAATTGAGGATCAAGTGTATCTTGCTATTTTCCGTGTTCCTTTCATCAAATAATACAAGTTATCTACTGTTTTTGTGCGGACTTTTGTGAAGATTTTCGCTGTTTTCCGAAGATTGATAGGAAATACTTGAAAACTACAAGTGTTTCCTATCAAATTGATATCAAAGCAAGTCTTGGGACCGGTGAAGGGTTGTTTTCAGCAAATTCCAGCAGCATTTTTTGCCCGGAAAAGGAGGAAGTTGCTGTTTTTTGACTCCAAAATCCAGATTTTGTGAATCTTCAAACTCCGGATTGTAATGGCGGCCAAGAAAGTTGATGCTTTGGAGGAGAGACTCTAAGGAGAGATGAATCACATCAAAGAAATCGTGGAGGAAAGAATTTCTTCCATGGAGGGGCAGGTGGCCGATCTCAGGGATATGATTAAAAGAATACTGGAGCTTCAAGCACAAACGGCGGCATTCGAAGCAAAGGGCCCAGAAGCGAAGAACACAAATTTTGAAATCCATAAGGAGGAAGAAGAGGTGGAAATCGTGGAAGGGGGAAGAAGAAGATCCTATGTGGAGCCTTTCCATAGGGAGGAAAGAGGATATCAACATAGGGAAAGTTATGGCTATGGGGGAGCGGAGCAAAGAGGGGCAGATTGGGAACGCCATGAGGGGTTTTATGACCGTCGGGGTGCTGATTTTGAAGAAAGAAGGGGGGATCTCGAAGGGAGTTTGGGCTATGACAGAGCAAGGGAAGATCGGGAAACATGGGGTGGACCTAGCACTTGAGAAAGGGGAAATTATGGAAGAATTAGGGAAAATGGTGGCGACCAGAAGGTGAGGAAGTTGAAGATGCCCATATTTGAAGGAGAAGATGCATATGGGTGGATTTACAAGGTAGAGCGATACTTCACTGTCAATGAGTTGACAGATGAGGAGAAGCTGACAGCAGCGGGACTGTGTGTGGAAGGGAAAGCTCTGTCATGGTTTCAGTGGAGAGACCAGAGGAGACCGATCAGGAACTGGAGGGAATATAAAGACTGCGTAATATAGCGTTTCCAAACTGATCGGAGAGGAGACTTCTATGAGCAGTTCTTTGCTCTGACACAGGAGGAATCAGTAGCAGATTATCGGGAGCAGTTTAAGCACCTAGCTAGCAGGGTGAAGCGACTCTCAGATACAGTGTTGGAGGGGAATTTCATGA